AATGACGGAATATTTTGGGGGACAGTTAATGGTTACTTTCTTCAAAGTCAGACGTGTTACATGGAGTCAGATTACAGATCCACGAAGGATCTCGACCACTGAGTATGTCTGGATGTCTTTGTTTTTTAGCATTCCACAAACGATAACAGTTCCGGAACCACCCCCAGACCCGGTAGAAGTTCCGAGGTATTTTGTCCATGACAACTCTCAAATCAAAACATTTTGTGTCCTTTCAACGCATCCTTAAAAAGAAAAAAACAGAAGTGAATGCGGTGGTGAGAACAGTCGCTGTAGCTACAAGTACTTAGCAATGTACCTTGTGTCAAATAGTTTTCGGGACTCTGACTTTTATTTGCAATAAAGAAACAAGTGCATTTCATCAAATTAATTCCAAGGTAGATTCATATATTTATTTTGCTATTTTATTTCCTGTGAATTAATATATTTTTAAAATATGTAACGAGTTGTGACACATTTTCAAAAGAAAGTAATTGCAAGAAAGTAATATTTTTAATCTAATTATAAAAAAAATATTACTGTTATTTGTGAAATCCTTGTTTATTTTAGTGACTGTAAATCAACGTACCAACTGTTGAATAAAATGAAGAGAAAACATGAAATGATTATGTCATGTCATGTTCGTTATGATTTTCTTTTTGTTCTCAAAGAGTTTTTCTATTTTTTTTAAGTCAAAATACTTTTATGCAAAATTGTCTAACTCATATCAGTTGCAAAATTTACACCAAATCAATTGGCTGATCATGTAAAGAGATAAAATGTTTGATTTAAAACAAAAATTTTTATTTTATTTTTTTTAGCTAATTTTAACGGTAAAAATGCAAATGCTGCAATTGATCTCTTTGTCCAACTTCAGGTTCACCCTGGTGGCACCGAACCTGCTGAGAACCGACAGCCCGGAGAATATCTTCCTGCAGGCGGAAGGCATCGCCAGCCCCGTCGAGGTGATCATCAGCGTGACCGACTTCACCAAGACCACCATGCTCTTCACGGACGGGGTCACGCTGGATCCGGGCAACGACTTCCACACGCTCAAGTCTCTCCAGGTGAAGGCGGGCACACGCCTTCCTTGTCACAAAGTCACAAATTCGCAAGGATGCATTTGAAGTGCACTGTTGTCATGGCGAGCGAGCCAATTCAAACGGTCAAAAGTCCCCAAAAAGGTGAACGATGTCGCTTTCCTGCAGATCCCCTCCGGTCTGTTGAATCGAGACGAGATCAAGAACAAGTATGTGATCGTGAAGGTCAAATTTGGAAACTACCACGAGGAGGAGAGGACCGTCATGGTGTCCTTCCACTCGGGCTACATCTTCATCCAGACGGACAAGCCCATTTACAACCCCGGAGATGAGGGTGAAGCCTTTTCTCAAATATTTTACAAGCCTTGGGACACATTCACGGTTGGAAACTATGCAGGGGAACACAAGGGACTCGTCATGGGAAAGTCGAAATATGGTTTGGGAAAATATATTTGGCTAGGATCTAAAAAAGAAAAGGGAAAAGAAAGGGAGAGAGCACACTGGCTCAGTAAAATTGAAGCTAACGTTGCTACTCCTTAGCGCTAATGTTAAAACAAGAAAAAGCAGTGTCCTTGTTGAAAGATACCTTTAAAAAGAATCCAAGTGGTAGGCTAGCGCGAGCAAAAATATAATTAGAAACATCTGGTCGTAGAAAAAAAACTTTTCTGCTCCAAATTTCCTGGAAATGCCTGTAATTGTGGCGCAAATCCACGCCATAGTGTAGCTTCTCGCGACAGCACACAGAATGACGGGTCGGGGGTTTGCTTTCCTTTTTCTTTTTTTTAATCGATTTCAACGTGAAAATTTGATTTGTAGCGCGAGCAAAAATATAATTAGAAGCATCTGGTCGTAAAAAACAAACTTTTCTCCTCCAAATTTCCTGGAAATGCTTGTCATTGTGGCGCAAATCCACGCCATAGGCTAGCTTTCCGCGGCAGCACACAGAATGACGGGTCGGGGGTTTGCGTTCCTTTTTTTTTTAATCGATTTCAACGTGAAAATTTGATTTAATGCACTTTGTACTGATACTCATCAGCATCGAATTATTTCCCAGTTCTAGTTGGAAGCTAACAATATAAACTAACTTTGGCGTTAGCATTAGCACTGCGCTTGTTAACCTGGGTTGGATCGAAGCCCAGGTCTTCTCAGGGGTTCGATGGAGCCTCTGCCATGGAGGGTAAATCGTACAATTAAAAAAAAAAATATATATATATATATATACACTTAGCTCTTGAAATTTTATTTACTTTTTTTGTGTTTTTAATAAATGCGTTTTTTTTTTATATATATCTTGAATTTGTAAAAAATACATATTTATTTTTCACTCAGGAAGGGTTTGGTGAATGTGCATATTAACTGGTTGGGTTCGTTCCCTCTAAAAAGGTGAAGAACCACTGATCTAAAACTAAATCTAAAGCAACCAGACTCAAATGATAATTCCACATTCACTATGTTGCAATTTATCGTCCCGTGGAAGTTTATCGGCTTTTTCCACCCTAGTAAACCAACACCCAACAAAAGGAATTCAACCTTTCTCTTCTTCCTCAGTGCGCTTACGAGCGTTTGTGTCCTCGTTGTCCTTCAAGGCCTCCGACAGCTCTTTGACCGTAGACATACAGGTCAGGAAAATCAAGTCACCCCCCAACGACTCCTCCACCACCACAGAATTTGTTTAAGATGTATGCTTCTGTGTGACAGAATCCAGAGGGAGTGGTAGTCAAGCAGGTTTTGAGGACCAAGGCTTCTTCCGGCGTCTTTTCAGACTCTTTTTACCTCACGGAAATGGCCAAGTAAGTCGTTTGTTGTCATCTGAAATGGCTTCGAGATCGGGTCAAAACCAAGGCTTGCAAGGGTTTTGGGAGATCAGGTCCAGATCGAGATTTTGAGGAGTTTGACGGAGTTGAGATCAGGTCAAAACCGAGATGATCCCAAGAATTTGAATAGTTGAGACCAAGTCAAAACAAAAACTCTTTTGAGTGTAACATGAACCAACCCGAAGAGAAAATGTTGACTTGAATGTGTTTGTCTGACTTCAACCAGCGAGGGCACCTGGAAGGTGATCGCCAAGTTCGACCACCGGAAGCAGAACACCTTCACCTCGCACTTTGAGGTGAAGAAATACGGTACGCGCACATTGATCGCCATCTTTTCTCCGGCGTGTTCATTTGAGCGCGAGTTTTTGGAACGCCAATGACTTTTGAATTGAATTTACCTTTGCAGTGCTGCCTGCCTTCAATGTGACTTTGACTCCGAAGAAGTCTTTCCTGAGCCTCGATGACAAGGAATTGGAGGTTGAGATCTGGGCCAGGTACACACCAAAATGCAACGTACCCTCTTATTTCACAATATCATTCTGTGGTCGATTTAAAAAACTTTTAAAATATGGTCCCTCCATATTGTGGCTTTTCAACTACTACCGGTGATTCCGTAACGTATCCCCCACAATAAACAGAGTTACTGTAACGCAGCACTAAAAATATGACGCCTTTGGGTTCAGCTACCTGTACGGCGAGCCGGTTCAAGGGACGGCCTACGTGTCGTTCGGCGTGAACGTCAACAAGGAGATGAGAAGGTTGCCTTCAGTCAAGCAGGTGTCAAATGTGAGTCACTCAAGTCGGAGCGGGAATCCACAGGGGCAGGGGGGAGCCAACTTTTCACATTCTTATTTTCGATTGTGACGATTACAGCTGGAGGGTGGCGTTGTCAAGCTGACTGTGGATGAGCTGAAGGCAGCATACCCCAACGTCAGGACTTTGGTGGGCAACTCAATCTATGTTAAAGCTTCCGTCCTCACCAAGACAGGTAATATGCCAACGCTGCCATCAAGTCGTTTTGAAATCAAAACCATCAAACTGAGATCAAGTCAAAGCCAAGATAACAGGATTTAAGACCTGATATCGTGTCGGGGTCATGAATTTGAAGCGTTGCTGTATGTCAAGACCAAGATTTGTAGACTTTAAGACCAGGCCATAACCAAGACTTTGAACTGTTGAGACCAGGTCAAAAGCACCGGTTTGAGGCGTCGAGGCATTGAGACCAAGTCAATACCGAGAGATTGAGGACTAAAACAAGGTCAAGATTAAGGCTAAATTGAGATGAGGTCATGATCAAGGTTTTGAGGATGGAGTCAAGACCGAGTCAAGGCCAGGACTTTCAACCGTTATCGTTAGGTCGAGATCACCTCTTTTAGGAGTTGAGATCAGCTGAGGACAGTTGAGACCACAACTTAGAGGAAGAGAAGAGACCAATTCAAGACCAGGACTTGGAGAAGTTGAGACGAGGCCCTGACCACGATTTTATGACAGGTGTTGAAAGCAAATCAAGACCGCAATTTGGAATCAAAATTGGAATTCAGATGAGGTGAAGTCCAAGACTTTTCGCAATTGAGACCAGGTCCAAGCCAAGACTTTGAGGAGGTCCACAACTTTGATTGGACACCAAGTCAAGAATTTTATGGTCTTCTCAAGGCATTTGAACTCACCAACTTTATTTTTCTGCACGTGAAGGCGCTGACCTGGTGGAAGCTGAGAAGACAGGCATCAAGATTGTGGACTCCCCCTACGTCCTGTCCTTTAAAAACATAGTCAAGTACTACAAACCGGGACTACCCTTTGACTTTACTGTAAGTTTGTCATCACGTTAATCCATCGAGTAACTTTGGATTCACAAGACAACGTGCTGCCGCATGTCTTCAGATCCAAGTGAGCCACCACGACGGTTC